TCCTCTCTGCTGCTTCTCTCACAAGAAGTGGCATGTGCCAGGCGCCTTGAACTGGTTTTGAGGCTGTGCTGCTCTTCCAAGGCGGGATGCACACGCGCGGAGGACCTTGAGTCGCTGCTGCAAGGTGATTCTGGTAAGCCTACTGTTGAAGGGCCCGCTGGCTGTCCAGCTGCCAAGCTGCCAGGCACCAAACCGATGCTGGTCTTTGGTGTTTGCACAACACCACACGAGGGCGCCGCGTGCACAACTGCCGCACTGGGCGCTGCTGCCGATGCGCGCTGTGCAGGCAGCGATTGGTCACCATCAGAATGGCGGCAAACAGCAGTGAGCACACTGCTTCCACTGCCCTTCAGACCTCCACGCTCAAAGATTGGGGCCTGACGACAGTACAAAGTGCTGCCCCGCGTCCGCTCTCGCGGCGCGCTCGCAGGGCGGCGTCCTGGAGGACCTCTGAGCCTGTCGCTGCAGTCGCCCCTGCTGCTGCCCAAATCACACGCTTGCAGCGCGGCAGAGGATCTGACTGCCTTGAAAGCAGCAAGAGCGGCCTCTGCGGCGGGCGTGGGGGGCCTCCTGCCACCTGCAGATGACGCCGTGTTGCCACCAGCGCAGCTGACGGCGCTGTATATTCTGGTGCAGCCGCTGCTGTGCAATGTGCTGTCATGTCGGCTGCTGGCGGCGCTGTTGCTGGGTGGGTGGTGGCAGCAGGCGGCAATCGCGGCAGTGTCGAAGAGCTCCGTGCCATCCGCACAATCACACCTGTCAACCCGACTGCTGTGCTGGTCTTCTTGGTCAGTGCGAGCCTCAATGGCTGCCGCCTCTGGCGCCAGCTGCACTGCTCTGGCGGCCACCAGCAATATGGCTTGGCTGGAAGACTGCCGCATCGCCCCAGACCTTGCTGGCGCTGTTCGTGGCCGGTGCAATGATGGGCGATCGCTTGAGACTGGCCGAGGGCTGCCGAAGGACGATGTGATGGGGTTCTGGTCAGCCTGCTGAGCCGGTGGCTTAGCCGTATGCTCACCCCTGCTGCCACTGCCGCCAAAGTTGCTGCCGCCAGCATGCGCAGCGGTGTCCTGCTGTTGCTGCTGGGCAACACCGGCAGCCGGCCCTTTCTGCTGACCTCCTGCTGCCAGGCAAATGACCCTCGCGGCGGCGCAGCCCTTTGCTTGGCTGCCCTTTGACACGCTGCCGTTGCTGCTGCCATCCGCCCGTTGGCAGCAGAGGCGGCTGCTGCCGTTGCTGAGGCAGGCTGACCCTGCGAGTGCTGCCAGCCGTTCGTACTCCACCTGAAGGCTGGCGTCTGGCGAGGGCAGCACCCGCACGAAGCCGCCGGCGTTGGCTGCCTCCCAGCGCTCCCGCGCCCGCAGGGCGGCCGCCAGCCTGCGCATGGCACGAGATCGTGGCACGTTGCGAGGCCCCAGTCAGCAAGGTCGGGCATCAGGCCCGCAAGCAAGGCATGATATCAGCTCGAAAGATGCAAGGCATACCACCAATGACTGTGCAAGCCCCCCCTCCCCTGCTGGCCCGATAAACTTGCACAGCTCGCACCGCTTTTCAGCTGCATCCTGTGCCACCGCCATCTCGCTGCGCGTGGGTGCCTCGTCAGCGTCCCTGCCCGCCACCCCGCGGCTGCCAGAGCCGCCCATCAACCTAGACTGTGCAGCGCGCCGCTCGGCGCGTTTCGCTGCCTCAATCCGCCGGCCATCGATGCGCACGAGTCGTAGCGCGTCAACCAGCAACGCCAGCTTGATGTCTCTTCATGACAGCCATGGGAAAGGGCATGGTGGGATGATTGATTAGCAATGATGCCGCATTTGTAGACGACCAAAATGACCGTTATGTGAGCGAGTTTGCTGCTGCACTGCTGCCAGCTACCAACTTCATCCTCGCCCTCCCAGGCCTCCAGGTCCGGTGGCCCCCCTACCGGTCAAGGGGCGAGTCTGTCCCGAAAGAAGGGGAATGGTTGACCTCCACCAGCCACGGCGACAGCCCCTCATCCAGCAGCACGTCAAAACCCAGGACCTGGCACACGAGAGTATCACCATGGCCAAGGAAACGTCGCGGTGCGCCGGCTCCCTCGGCATGACGTGCAGTGTGGCAAATAACCTTGCTGAGTCTCGTGCTTATGCAGCTGCTCAGCGTTCAGCTCAACCTTCCTCGCTGTTGTGCACGAAAACTCCACGCCAGCCTCACCTCAAAGCAGCGCGACCTTGACCCCGCCACCGCCGACGCGTCGCCCGCAGTCTCCCGCCCGCTCGGCCCGCTGCCATCCGCCGTGTCGCTGTAGGTTCCGGGAAAGGCGGCCTTGTAGCTGCCCTGCAGCAGGGGCGCCACGGAGATGAGCGATTTCGCCACCAGCCCCTCAATAGCGCGCCACAGAGGCTCCCATGCGTGGCCCTCTGACTCCAGGCGGCGGCGCAGCTGAGCAAAGCTCCACTTGTGACTCAACACCTCCGCCCCCTGTGCTCCAGCTGCTTGCTCTTCACCACCGCTGCCGCCGCTGCTGCTGATGCTGCCGCTGCTGCCACCCGTCGGGGCGTCGGAGGTTGAGGGGGCGAGGAAGGCGCCGCTCTTCTTGTTGACCGCGTAGTTTGTGAGGTGCGCCGTGAGGCGTCCGAGGTTGTCGGCGGCAGGGCGCGCATAAGGCGTGGTGCAGAAGCGCGCAAGGCCCTCTCGATACACAAAAACCCTGCGTCCAACAATGGGAGGGGTGCGTCCAGGCGTGGGCCGAAGCTGCTTGCGCGAGGCGTGCGAGGGGCCTTTTACGCAATATCCTGAATTTCGACACCTTCAAAATGTGATGTACTGGCCAACAGCACTCCGCATTTGCATGGCACTGAGCGCAGCGCACAATCTTCACCAAAACGCCAACATTCAGCACAAGGCGACCGCAGCCCACCTGAGGGGGTCGACACTGCTGACCAATGCGTACACCCGCAGATCAAACTTGAGTCCTCCGATCAGCAGTGGCCGCGCCAAGTAGTGCTGCGCCACCGCCGCACAGCCAGGCGGGAGCGCCGCCAGTGCTGCTGCAACGCGGGAACCGCCGGCGCCGCCCTGCGCCAGCCGGATGCCTTTGCCCTGCATGGCAAACACAAGAAAACTCAGAAGCAAACTCGCAACTACAAATGCTCCTTCCTGGCTTCTGGATATCCTGTTTGAGCCCCTCACTCTCACCCACACCCATATCACCCCAAACTAAGGCACACACATGTTCAAGCAAACGTATTTGATTCAAGGTGCGTTCGTACATGGTCAGTGTTTTGGCCCGCCTCCTCCCTGCGCCACCCGTGAACCTTTGATCTACGGCCCCACCTGACACCCAGCGTCAGGCTTGATGATGTACGCCTGCCGCCGCCCCCTGCGGGCCGCGTCCGCCAGCAGCGCCGCCTCGTCCCCCGGCACACTGAACGTTACCGGGAAGAAGGCGTAGGCGGCAGGCTCCGCGCGCTGCATGGCAGCCAGGTGGATCGCCATGGGGCGCTTGCGGCAGATCTGCAGCATCCCTCCAAAATGGTTGATGACCTGAGGGGTGAGATCGAATGTTGCACCTCAACAAAGACGATCAAACGGCAATCGAGTTTTGTAAAAGCTTCCGATTTTATGCTATGGAGGCGAGTGAGCATGGTCAGCACATGTACACCTGCCCAGCGGAATGCTGCCTGTGCAGCACTCCAGGGCCCCAAAACCTGCCGCCGACGCACCTGCGTGGGCCGCAGCCGCATGAGGCGTTCCATGCTGACCGACATGTCCGTCCAGTAGACACTGGGTGAGGTTCAAGGGGGCAGACAGAGGCCTCACAGGCGGGCCGTAGAACAAGCACAGCTTGCAAACATCAACAAGCGCCGACAGAGCGCCTGGCAGCTCGCTAGCTCCGCCCAGCGGGTGGGGCCATGAACAAGCTGTCTCTGCTCACTCAAAGTAGTCCCCGTCCGCCTCCTGCTCCACGACCCTCCAGCCTAGCCGCTCCGCCACTAGCCGCAGCAGCGGGTACTTGCAGTCGTGCAGCGCGAGGCGCACCCTCGGCGCATGGCTGCGACGCTGGCGCACAGTGCCTGGCGGTGACTCACAAGCACCCAGAGACCTGTTTTGTATATGCAGACGTGCGTGCGGGTTTGACAATGCCCGATGGTGCTTTGGCGTGATGGGGCTTTCTTCGGGTCAACACTGCTATTCCTCAATGCCGCCGATTCGATCACCACATCTTCCAGAAAGTGATGTTTGTATGCACCTTTCGAGCTCTGGCAGCTGCTTCATCATATCCAATCCCTCTGTCCAGCCGGCATTTGCCGTGATACTTGCAGCATCATGTCCTCTGCAATGCAATGATTTATGATATACACGAACACATAGCCCGGCGTGTGTGTTCTTGTGCGCGCTTGAAGTCTACACCCTGGATCGGCCTTCTTACTGCTCCCTCGCAACAGCTCGAGCTGCTGCCGCTGTCCTGTGAGCTCTGCTGCCCACTGCCGCCTCCGCTGTCGCCGACGCCTCGGCCACCCTTTCCGCCGATTTTTTTGCGGCGCCTGAGCTGCTAATGCAGCTGCTGGTGCTGCCGCCGCTGTGCCGCGACGCAGCAGCTGTGCTGGTTCTCCTAAAACCGTTGTTGCCGCTGTTAAGCGTGCTATGATCAGCATACACGGTGCTTTGATTGGGTTTGAGGTAGGATTCTCAGCATACGTGCTGCTGCGGACCGCCTTGCCCGTCCCCAATCAGCAAGAGGGACGCCACCGTCCTGGAGGCCACCCTTGCCGCCTTCAACAAGCACACTCTTTCTTCTTAGAAAGCTGCTGCACCACACCGCATGTCGGGGTGAACATTCTCGCAAAGAGAAGGTCGGTGCAGCCTGCCATTGTGGTGCGCCCTGCGATCGTGGCCAAATGCATTGCAGGTGACCCCTCAGCATGCTAGCTACAGTAGGCTTTTGTAGGAAGACCTTAGTACCTTGAGGACCCTTCATTAGGCACGGATTCGATGTCAGATTGAATTAATAATCATTAAGGGTAGTTCACAGCCTCAATTCATGATCTCACGCCCTGCATGGCAAGGCCGTGATGCGGTCAAAGTGCGACTCAGCCGAATATCGTGATCTTGCGTCCGGAGGTGCTGATACGTGCTGGATTGATTTTTATATCATCAAATACTGCCATCTTAGTTAGTGTGATCCGTGTCCATGCGCCGAGCACGAATGGGTTGCAGGTGCTGCATGACAGTGCAGCGCCTCCATTCCCTTGCCCTCACACCAAGCTGATGGTAACATGTATTCATCAACAAGTTTGGCTGCAGGCTGCAGGCATGGAAAGCTCTTTTGTGGGATGACATGGCAGCCCTGCACCTCAATCCACATGTGCATGCCAAACAGGTGCCCTTATGATTGCATTGGCCACCCCTGCACGATACCGCAGGTGCAAGTCAAGAGCTCGGCAAGACGTTGCAGGCCTTGCCCGTGTGCCTTCGAACACGGGTTGCCCCCCTCTGGCGGCCCCAGCTGGGTGGCTAGATGGGGCCCATGAGGCGCCCCTCCCGCGCTGCGGGGGACCAATTTTTTCGTCCCTCTTGGGTACCGGTGTCCCCAACCAGCCAGTCCGGTTAAAAAAGCCCAGCCCCGGTCCCAAGCAACCACAGCGTTCTTGGGCGCATTGCGAATCCGCAAGAGCACGTTGTCAACCTCAACAGGGCGTAGGCTTGTTGCAGTCTTTGTCACCCTGCCAGTAAGCTGGAATGCAGGGATGATGGCCAGGGCTCCATGCGACCACCACACTAAAGGAAAACCTGCAACTTGTGCCCTGCCTCAAGCAGCTGCCCTAAGCCAGAGCAGCACGGCAAAGGCGTGCTGGTGTTCAGTTGTCGGGGGCTCTGGGCTTGACAGCCTTGGCACATACTTCTGTCTGACCTACACGCAAAAGCAACGGCCCTGCACGCCGGCGCCTGCTCCACACCAACACGTGTATGTTACATGTACTGCGCCACCAGGAAAATGCAGCCGCACGGGCGGCTGCGCTACCGGTAGCACTGCAGGAGTGATCCCGCGGCTAGAAACACGCCAAATAACTGCGTGGGGGCAGGGGGGGGGGAGATGTGGGAGAGGCGG